AGATGTCGAAAACGTCGGCAAAGGTCGTTCGATACGACCGCCGGTAAGAGATCTGTTGTGAGTGCAAATGTGAGCGTGCAAACCATGTTGAATCCAGAGGACTTCAGCTTACCTCGTTCAGATCACACACAACTTTGCAGAACGCTTCACAGCTGAACGATGGAGACCGCAGGCGGAGACGGCGAAACAACTCCAGCGTCGTGAGTGAGATGGCGATGGAGGGCCGAAGGGGGGAGTTGCCAATGTACCCATGCTTGATCAGAACGGCAGCGCCCGAGATGTCGGCATCTGTCGGTACAATTCGTGCAGATCGTTGAAGTGTGTAGACGTTGAGAACGTCTATATCGTACTCGAAGGGACTGGCGTCGGCGGGCGTTGCGGGTGACGTTGAGGGAGACATTGTTGAGTTTGCTGCTTTCCAAGCCAAGTACGCCGATACCATGCCGGGAATGAGGGGCTGCCAGTTCTCGTCGAGATTCTTCAACCGCTGGCGCCGGTTGCGTGTGTCGTCGCGTTTGTGCATGAAATTCCTGCGGTGCAAGTTGAGCTGTCTGTCACAAGATATCGTGTATATGTACTTACCTTGGATTTGAAACCATGTCCCTCAAAGCTTGCGCAAACTCGTCGCTATCCGGCTGGTCAGAGAACGGGATGTCCATCTGCTGATCTTCATCGAGAACCGCATCCATGACCTCGTTGTTGTCAGGAAAGTCATCTTGCGAAACTTGCTCTGAGGCCTCAGTGATGTCGGCAATTGCTTGGCGATTTGCTGAAGACAATCCTGCAGAAAGATGGTTTTATATTGCTGTTAGATCTTGGAGCAACAACATGAACATACCAGCCATGCTCCTATCGACGTTCTCCTGTGCTCTCTTCCTTCGGGCCTCAATCTCTCTGATACTCGTGATTTGAGTGTGTATGGTGCGGCCCTCTCTCCACGACACTCCAGTAATATGATTGATCTTTCGACCGAGGCGTTTTGCTTTGTTCTTGCCCATGAGGAGAGATAGTGCGAGGAGAGGATAAGGCGTAGCAAGAGGCGAGGTATGCAGCGCCCAGCGAGCAACAGTCAGGAAGGCTGCTGGCAACTTTCTCAGCGCCTAATAATTCCTGTCAACAACGCGATCGTGCGACGCGTCGCGGTCATGTGATAGCAATCATTCACCCGTAGTAGGTGCAACCCTTTCCGAGATCACCGGAGATGCCACGGCTGTTGCAGAGACGCCACAGAATCTTCATGATCTGCCCTCCAGGACCAGGCGCTTAACATTAGAATACACGGTATATACTAGATTGTATGCAACTCAGTACACATAGCGGGGATC